TTTTTTTTTTTTTAAAGAGGTATCTTATCCAAACACATTTGAAACAAATTAAAATTACGTAGTAATCGTGCTTGTCATATTAATCCGAAACATTTATTTTAAATTAATTAAAACCAAAGTTACATTCAAAACAAATATATAAGTGAAAAAAGTAAAGTTTTCTTTTTCTTTTGAATGGAATTAATACAAATGGAAGAATAAAAATTCTCCCTTTAAATGTCTCGAGATAAAAATATTTGTCTTTTCTTTATATATTTATATCCAATAAGTAACTGGATTACCATCAATTTTTATGCTTATACAAAAATGAACATACAATAATAATAAAATATCCAATACTATATTAATTATATTTTAGAACACATAATTATATTTCCACTTTCTTCCATACTTTTGTCTTGGTGATACTTTTCCAATATTTCTTATATAATTTACTCATTAGAATGATAGACTAGTTTTTCTATTGTATTGGATAAATGATGAATCCTATTGCATATTTATTTTGATTCAGGACTAGTAATTTAGTTGTTTTTTTGATTGATTTTGCATTTCCATTGAATTATTTAATTGTTTGGCCATTAATTAGATTATTAATTGCTATTTGTCGTGTTGAAAGACTGACAATAAGTCTAAAACGAGGTAAAATTAACATATGTTGATAGAATTAGGAACAATCTTTATTACATATGCAATCATATAGATAAATTACAATTCAATGCATTTTGGTCATCTAAATCGAATTGGGAATAAGATTGGGTCATGATTAGAGTAGACTTAATTTGTTTGAAAAAAGAGAACTAAATACACTAATTTCATCGATTATCACGAATGCATGAAATTAACTAGATTACAAATCAAGAATTAAAATAAATGGAAATAGAGAAATTCAAAATCCAATACAATCATGCACAAATTCGACAAAACATTTTTATTGCTTTCTTAGTTTAGAATTAATATAAAGAACAACAAAATCACCTCTTTTGTGTCACGTACATTGAATTTAGTAATAATTAGTGAACTACAATTAAATATTATTCCTTATGGGACGATAACTCATACTCACTTTATTACTTTCAACAATCTCGTACGCTTGCGGATGTCAACCAAACAGTTCACTTAAATCATTGATTGTTTTGGTGATTTTTTATTGGTTATACTTATCATCAATCTGGGCAGCATTGACTATAGTTATTTATTACCCAATAAATCAAATTTCATCTCAATTTTATTAAACAATAAATCACTAATATTCATTGTCACCTATATTGATAGAACAATAAATTAAAATGAATGCCAACTTGATTCAACAATAAATTACTATGGTTCCCTGTTACCTAGATTGATGTTAAACACAAACCAATGATGTTGTCGCTACTTTTTATCAAATATACCCTTATTCGATTCCACTAAAAAATTGAATTAAAATATAAGTCAAAGTCAATAATCAACTTTAAGAGCATATTTCATGGGATCCACAACTTTTCAACCGTACAACCTATCATTTTTTATAAAAAACTAATAAAAATTTGATTCTTTTCTGAACCAAATATGGACATAATATGCTAGTCGACGTGGGTTCGCCAAAGAGATAGATAACCAAAGGTATCATTTGGGCCTATATATAATGGTGAACCACACAATAAAATGAAGATGAAAAAAAAAGTAGACGAAAATACTTGAGAAATAAAGGTCGCCAAGGTAGTTTTAAAATGTAATGCCTTGGTAATACTAAATTATATTGTATTGCTTAGTAACTAGTAAATTCAATATTGTTTTCAATTTTATAACGTATAAAATATATAAATTTAATTGTATCATTTCAAATTTAAATAACTAAAATTTACAAAACTAGTGGGGTGAACGTGCGTTGCACGTTAGATGGTTAACCATAAAAATAAGTATACGTAAATTTCTAGAAATTCATTCGTAAACACGAAAAATATTCATAAGTTGGTTTTTTTTTCCTCTAAAAAAAAATAAAAGAACATGGGTTGTTCTTTAGAGTCTATAATAAATATAAAAAACATTAATTTAGTCAACTGTAAATATTAGGTGACAGTTTAAAATTGTGATTCCATAAAATCTGATGCTGAAGCAAAAGGAGAGTCTACAGATCTTCCAGTTTACAATTCTTCTATGAACTTTGATTTCTTCAAACTAATGAAAAACTTA